TCTAGGAAGCACTGTTTCAACTACAGGCGCACAGGCACAGACGAGGATGTCAAAGTCAGAATCGGAAAGCCAGCAAGACAGGCGTTTACTAACCTGAACCAATGTGGAGATCTTCTGCACTGCACTCAGCATGTGGAACAAGATCCGGATTTTCAACACCAACGTCAAGTCAGTGTTTCTGTATGGCTCAGAGACTTGGCGCGTTACGAAAGACATTTCCAACAAACTACAGACATTCATCAACAACTGCCTACACTGGCTCGTTACTGAAGATCAGATGGCCAGAATGATAAGAATAAGCAACAAGGAACTCCGGCCTGGCAACGAACCAACCAAGGACCTATCACCCAAAAAATATGCACTAGAAGGAAGTGGAGATGGATTGAGCATACACTGAGAAGGCCGACTGGGGACATCACGCGTCAGGCCAGGCATTCGAGTGGAACCCCGAAGGGAAGCGACGAGTTGGGCCTCCGAGGCAAGGGTGACATGGAGGAGATCGTGTGAGGAGGAAATGAGAGCTTGTGGGCTGTCGTGGAGCCAGGTTCAAAAGATTTCAGAGAACAGAGTTCACTGGAGACGTACTAGTGAAGCCGTATGTTCCATTAGGAACCCAAGGGACTAACAATAATAATAATAATAATTGATCATCTACTGATATCAGTTGGAGAACCACTGGAAAAATCAGGCAGTCAGAGTAAGATGAATGTTAAAACAATAAAGAAACTCAAAAATGAATTTTGATCGCGGCAAAATAAGACGATCGATGTACCTCCTCTGTACACAGAGCTCAGGCTGTAACTGTTGAATTGCCGACGACTCTGCTGTACATAAGTGACGAATAAGTACTCGTCTTGAGCCCTTTGCCTTGACTGTGGGAATGCAATATGACGAGAGTTGACCGAATAGTCCAAGGTGGAACTGTTGCTTGACTTACGCTCTCCTACAGACAGCTAAGTGGGATAGTGCTAGAAGATGAGTTCGGAAAAATTATGCTTTATGTGTGAAGAAGATTTGAATTCTTAGAAACTTTCTGACATAAAGTTGGAACAAGACATGTAGGCGAGAAATATTGTTTTCAGCTAGATGCCTTCAGACTATACTTTATTAACATGTATAATTTTAGGCAGTGGAAATAATGAGAAAAGCAAAGAGTTTGACAAGTTGAAAATTGCTGGTAGATGTGAAATGCGAATACTGAGTAGCCACTTGATAGATGTAAAGAAGGCGAAGGATAAAATCGGAGTCTAGCTCTTACCTTACCATGGTCGTAACATTCAACTTTCCGATTTCATTATAACTAGTTAGTGGATTATCATCACTCTCATTATGACCCTTGTTTCATTCTTCACCTTCTTTATACATAAGTTTACTTTTGTAGGAAACAACAAACCAATCATAACATCGAAGTTGACATAAAAGGACAAGTCCAATTTGTTCAAACCTTTGATACGATCAGATAAAACAGAATAAACGATTTTAACCATTTATCTGTTCAACCGTTTTCTTACCTTCACCTCTTCCACTTACATATCATACTTGTGTAGACTTTAGTCATTCAAGTACTGCATTCTGTAGTGTTATGCAGCTCTTATTTTACTAAGTTTTAACTGACGTTGATTGTTTAAATGTCTAAACACTGCACAACGCTGCTTTCGAATGACTCTAAAAGCCACGCTAGGGACTACTTAAATAACCCACCAGGCTTTTCTATTTTGTGGAGAACTACGTTTCCAGATGAAGTGAAGAAATCTAATTGAATATCACAAAGGTCCCTGAGCTGGCCTTTAAATTCGTTCCTGTTTTTATCATAATTATGGTTCGTAGGACGAATATTAACCTCTTTATTTTGACGATTACGTAATGCACATTTCACTACCTTCTTATTACATATTGAAAAATCACCATGGTTGGTTTTATGTTTAATATATGAGCAAAATTATGCATGTTAGCTTAGAACTTGAGAGAATCAAACTGGAAACAATATTATTTGATTCCATGTCTTGTTCTTATGTTATTATTGGGAATTTTCAACATCTGTGCAAGAAGTGTATAAAAGCAGTTACTTTTAAAATACATTCAAGAGTGGAGAATCGGTTATAAATAAACCTGTAGAATGCAGCAAATGGTATGACCAAAAATGTTGGCAAACTTAGTCACTGCCTTTTGAAGAACTCAGTCCAAAGTCGATTGGGATATGAAACTCTACTTAGGCAGTAAACATGATGAAGTACCTATCTCCTGCACAAATTACTACAGGCCGTGCTACCTGAATCAAACACTTCAAACTAGAAAGCAAACTAGCAGACATGTACTGAAGTAAACTTAAGTCAAAATTTCACTTATAAAAGACAATTTATGGTTCAATAGATTGATCGTTCACCCTTTAATAAAAATTTAATCTCAGTAACGTAGTAGTCGTACAGATCAACTAGAGATTAATTCGGATTTTAATCATCCTATGTAAGAAGATTTATTCTCCGACTTAGACTATCTCAGATGTTACAGTCATTAGTTTCAAATTTAGTACTAAATCAGAATGCTGTTTTGACTAAAAATTTCAAAGAAGATCACAATCTTTTATTCGTTTCGTCTGCGTCGATCTCTTCCGTCCCAGATAGCAACCTGGTTATTTGATACAATGTTGTCAGGTCTATCTCTCCTACCTGCAGTCTGTTCTGCTTCACTTGCCAGTGTTTCCTAGAAGTGTCTTTTGTCTTTCCGTGCACTCTTCTTCACTTAACTGTCCAGTGTAGTGTTTTATACATTGTACTCAGTTCCTCCTCTTGTTGTGCATCCTTGCACTTCTTTATCTTCTGCTTCACCATCCTCCTCTTCCTCCTCTATCAGCTTCCATGTATCCGTCGAGATCCATTCCTTGTCTTCTTCCTTCCTAATACGGCTGTGCAGGGTTCTTTCCACATAGCTTTCAAAGACTTCCAGTGTTCTTCCACACAGGTTTCTTCAGGGATGTTCCTCGATATCTCCCATTTCGTCTTGATGGCTGGCTGCCGTGAAGATTTCCTTTGTAGTTTCATCCTTCAGTTTCCGAGTGTTGTACTTGAACTGTGTGTGGTCTATCACCAGCTTCCTTGAAGGCGTTCAACTTGATTTGGAAGCTTTCTAGCACTAGATAGTGAGTGGTCTGAACCTACATCTGCTCCTCTTCTTGACCTTGTGTCAAGTAGACTGCGTCTTGTCCAGTGTTGATTGAAGTTGTCCGTAGAACTCCTCCTTTTTCTCTTGCTCTGCATTATTTGTAGGTGCATGGGGTAGCATTGTATGATTGTGACCTTCCTTCCTTTTGAGTTGAACCTTGCTGTTATGATCTGATCCTGGGGGAGATTGGTTCCCACTGCATCAGAGCCTTCGATGCTCTTCAAGGGGACATCATGGTAGCCACTCCATAACTCAGTGTGCTCATGGTTATCGTCTGGGTGACGATATCGGAGTAGATTATTGATCCTCCAGTTGACAGTTTGGAGAGTCCACTCCCATTCCATCTGCTTTGACGAGTTCCAAGCACTTCAATGCTATACCTTCTCATCTCCTTTGCAATCAAAAAGGGCTGCCTTGCTGGGTTCAAACATCGTGCGGACATTCCGTGTCCCCACGTTTACTTTCGCTTTCATCGAGAGAAGACACATCGGTCCCGCTAATTGGCTTCCCGAAGGCTTTCACCAACTGGTGTCATTTCGCCTCTCCGATTCTAGTGAGGAATAATTTTGTTATTATTTTTTATATTTTGTTTGTGCTTTGAAGTTTCTTTGGCAGTTAGATTTGTTTTGCGGAGTAGGGTTGCTAGCCGTATGCCCAACCTTCCCTCTTTACCCGGGCTTAGGACCAGCTAGTAACTAGTGAACTAGTTAACCAGGCGAGGTTGGGGATATGTTGCATAGGTCTGATCACCATCTGGTATATCACACATTGGTATTTGAAGTAGATTTCGACTGTAAAAACGTTAGGTGCGGTTAGGTTAAAACATGGTATCAGTGCGTGCAATCGTTGATTGTTTGGGTGAGCCATGCATGTAAATATAGACTTCTCGAAGATGGTTTAGGTGAGAACAGAAGCCAGTGGTTGGAGAATCTGAGTTATAGGGTTGCGAATCGATCTATGGTGCAGATGTACCCACACTATATCCCCATCTTAATCTTCATACTAACTTCAGGATTTTCTCATAACTCTTTCTTCTCTTTTACTATTTTCTACAACTTTTGACTGCTTTCTTTTGTTTCCTTACATAGTTTATATCTCTATACGACTTCAGACTACTCATAACAGTAAGTAGTATGTTTGAATTTAGCAAAAGAGACATGCTAGGTTGGGCTTTTCCAGACTGTTTATTAACGATGTGAAGCTCAAATTACTCACTGTTTGTGATAAATATACAAGAGTTATCAGATATATCGAGTCCATAGCGAAGTTCTATGCTCGGTGATACGAATACTGAGAACATCATGATAGTGTGTGTTCAGATAGAAAAAATTAGGTCAGAGTTTAGAGAAGGACAATGAGGTTGCTCAGTAAGGAAGGACGAGACCAGTGGATAAATACAGTTTGAGCGTAAATGTAGTATGTGCATGAAGGAGAATACAAATAAAAGTATAAAGGGGAAGGGAAACCTTTTAATGACCAATCGGCAAAGTTCATTAGGTTTGCCCTGGTCAAGGCAGGGATAAGAGCTGGATAAATTTTTCGTGAATAAAAAGGTTCGCATTATTCACTCGAATTAACATAGTTCCAGCCATATTTAAAAACGCGGGTCCAAGCTCTATCGGAACGGTGCAATAGGATGCGATGATTTACTTTGGACGCTTTCGTTTAGTCCACTCTGCGACAGCTATCAACTACAGCCGATAGGACGAAATCCTTCAAAATGATTCACTGCTTCCCTCCAAACCTTTCCGATAAATAAGACACTACTGTACTACTCAAAAGCAGTTAAAGTAATAATTTGTAATGACGAGAAAACATAATTATACAGTGTAAACAATTACCTTTGCAGCCTCAATTGCTTTCTTAGGTAGGTCGATTCGTGGAAAGGCATACATTGCTCCAGTGATTGGATTACACGAGAAGCCGGGTAATGAGTTCAAGGATTTTGTAGTAAGTTCAGCCTTTTGCTTTAGTTCTTCAAGTACAGATGATTTCTCTTTCATGAATACATTGTAGGATGGTTCATCAGGTTTCGGTGGATTCACGACGACATCCATAGTCAGCTAGCAGTATGAGGAAAATGATACGTACATTTAATCAGTTTGGTGCAAAAAACGTGATGTACTTTCAGTTATGTTGCTGAGACAGAAATTAAAACGATATTCAAGACCGTTATTTTAGGTGGGGTTATCAGAGTAAAACGTACGATCAATAACGGTTCGTAAATCGAAGACATTCATAGTTTGCAAATGTGGCATACAAAAAAATGTACCCAGCTAAAAATGCACTTATTCGCTTCAGATTTTCCAACTAGGACAAAAAAAAATACGTTGAGACCTTTAATACTGAACTTTAACTCATAGGTTCTAATAAGAACAGTAATCACATAAAGCGAGAACATACCTATTACTTCTTCTGACGTTCGCATACAATAGCATGGTTTCTGGAGTAAGTATATGATGAACTTACACTGTCAAAGAAATGTAACCTCTATGGTGTAGAGTAGTTCATTTTTTAAAACCCTTTTTACTGAATAAATAATCTTCCCTATCAGCTATCACCCAAAAGAATGAGTTTTAACTTCAGTGCTCTTCATCAAATACATACCATCTTATGAATAAAATAAACTCAGGTGCCAAGCAATAATTTCTTATTAGGACCACCATCATCTAACTTTAATCTACCGTAAGATTTAGTTTATGGAACTGAGTCACTGGAACAATGACTTTTATTTTGCGTAAGTTCTACGATATTAAAATTTGTTTGGTGCTACGTAGTAGTAAAGTCTAGGACGCAAGATTGTCCTACCTGTCTCGTCAGCTGGAAACACCATTACTCAGTGGGACATTTGAGAGTGACAAGTTGATGAGTTTCACTCTCATTACAAGTGAAGGTATAGCCAACTGAAAAGCTCTAAACAGGAAAAAACTGGATTCTACTGTTAGCTACCGTCAAGCAAATATTACCGTAGTGGGTCTTCAGGAAAAATCAAAACACCTGAAAAGGATCCCTTATGCTAAAATAGATAGATCAATTTGGTCTCGTAAAACGACGGAAAAATCTCAAGAATCAATAAATAACTAGCAGTTACCACTGATATTATTTGATGAATTGCTATAAGTTTTTTTAAACTGAGTGAAGTCCAAACAACTAAAAAGTTTAAGTATCTGTAAAGTTAGGAGTATGTTTCATATTCATTGTTCAAATAAAGTGTAGTCACGAAACTACAGTGAAATAACGACAGCGTATAAACATCTATACAGAGAATCGAAACTACATCTTTTCTGAGCATCAGGAAATAAGCTGTTGGTTGCTGAGTAAGTGATCTAAGTTTGAGTTGTGTTTTAACTGAATTTCCGTTCTACCAGAAAGTATATATTAGCACCTTGTGCGAGACCCTATAAAGTAGGTCTCTGCATTGACATATCGGTATCTACGTCAACAATTGATCAGTTGTAGTAGTCAAACATTTCTTTGTACAAATAAAAAGCAAAGGAAAAGTGGATTTTATTTATTCTCTTCCCAAGTTACTGACACTTAATTTCTCTAGACTTATGGTGAAGAATGAAGTCAGTGTCCTTATGCTGCTTGGTCAATGATCCTACAGGCTTCAGTAGCATACTAATTACAAATATACTTTAAAAATAAGACCTATCTTTTCGAGTACCCGATACAGATGGTCTAAGCCATCCTGAACATAAACTACTTGATTCATTTACCCGTAGCCTCCTTCCAACCAAATCCTACTTCTGACGACACAGTACGTCATAGAAGGCGATGGATTGGCATACTCAGGGCATGTATAAACCATATCGGCCAATGGTAAACCACAACTTTATTCACTGACTTTCGTCCCTCGGGTAGTACTCCTCCACCAAACCCTAGAGCTTCTCATTCGATGAATCTACAACTCGTGAGCAATGGCATGAAGACATCTGTGATCTCATCACATTTCCTACTTTCAATAGTCACTTCTCACAGACATGTTATAAGAAGGAATGGATTTCAGTGTAGTATATTTGTCTTTTCATAGTGAGTCCGATATCTTCTTGCACCAGAGATGACTTAATTTGACGAATACTACAAGTGCCTTCGGTATGAGACGGAGATTTCGTCAGTAACAAATCCGTTCCATCCAGATCAACCTAGGTCCAGGCATTACTGCGTAACGGTCCCAGTTGCCACACCTCATATCTGTACATCAAGTAAAAAGGCAGTGAGGTGCAAGATGAAGATAAGACAATGCAGTCAAAAGAAATATACAGTACGAAAAGAAAAAAATAAGAATGAGGAAGTGGTGAGATTCGGTATAGCGTCGTTAAGATAGGCATAATGTATGTATACATCTGAGCCACTGACATCGGTTCCGAGCCATATCACCTAGAGTCTCCAACCACTGGTTCCTCTTGTCCCGCGGACCCCAACCACCCACTTCACTCCTTATCCTTAAACTAGTAGTTGGTGCCATTAAGTCTTGATGTATTATTTTAGATTCGGCAATTACGAGACGTACGCCAAACATAATCACAGTGCTGCCCAAAGTGTCCAAAAGACTCTGCATTCTGTTAGCGTCCTAATGGGACTAAATCGTCTGGACGTTCTAAGTTGGCCAGTTGCTCTCCAGGGAGTAGGTTAATCTCTGTGAAGTTAGGAGTTCCTAAGATATGTTCGTTATCACGTCTATAACAAAGTTATAGGAAAAGAAAAGTTATTGAAAAAGAGCCCCCCTCGACAGAAGGAAGATAATTATAGATATGACCTATTTAAAAGGTGATTCCAAGCTACGTAAGTCATATCAAAGAATGAGTCAGTTAATTGTTAATGCTGTTCAAGATTAGCAGTGACATCACAGAAAACTCAGAGCACAGTGAAACAAATAACCATGACAACGGCATTCTTGTATACTGGACAGCATACGAATTTAATGAGTACACACAAGAAATTTTCGATCGTAATACATGAATGTGAGTACAAAAATGAAATTCTTTTGGACAGTAAAATTTCAATGTACAGGCTCAAAAGCTGAGAAAAGAGGATTGGTAGAAGTAAATAATTTTAAAAAGACGACTGTCAAAAAGCATATGATTGGTGGCCAAATCTGAAGACTGTTTCGAGAAAATCAATCTTCTTCTGGCTATCAGACTGTTTATAAGTGAAAGGATCACAGGTTCAAATCATGGAACGATTTTCATCTAATTTGATCAAATAGAATATAAGTTCAAAATGACTAAGATGTGAGTAAACAATTATCCTCTGCTGTCACCGAATCCAATACAGTTCACTGAGGGCAGCAAAACCAAGGAAAACATAATTTGATGAATACGTAAATTTAGAAAGACCTCATCAGTTGATTACTCTACATACACCATCATTTTTACCTAATTTCAAGGTTTACATACAAATACACAAAGAGATATCAACTAATCTAAATGAAGTGATTATATTTAGGTGTGAAGAGGATAAGTATTTTTGAAATGACGAATTAATCCAAAAAGCAACACAAAATATTTAATGGAGTTATTATGGTACCGGCAATCAGATAATGAGTATATTAGGGTTTTGTTTAAATTTTGACGAAAAAGAGAGCGTAATTAAATAGTGAACGTTAGATGTGATGTGTATGTAAAGGTAGCAGAAAGCGATATCATGAGTATCAGAGATAATACACCACCATCATCTTTGTAGTATAGACTGTCTGACATCACATCAATTATGTAAACGTTAGGTGAAGAATTTTAGGGAGATGTGGTTATGAATCTTCATTGATTTAAACTGCCGGAACATAAGCTAAGTATTTCTGATCACCGTCTACTTCACCGCAACGTTGCTGGTTTAAGTAAATCCAGACCAGAAGAAAGTCAAGGACTACCAGACTAAGATATGGAATCAGTTAGAGTCATGTAAGCAAATTCAGACTTTACGGTTGTGGTTCATGTGACAATATAAATCGCTAGTTACTACAGATTAGCTGCATCTAAATCCTCACATCCACTTTCATTTTTGTTCCATTCTGTTTCGTTATCTTCTCTCAACTTTCTTCCACTTAGTTTGCTTTCCTCCTTACTTCTTATTGTCTCACAAACTACGCTCTGCAACCATTGCCAAAGATCAAAGGCATTGAAACGTAATTCCTAGTCTCCTAAGACCCTGTCAGCTATTTCACACTGACTTCTAACGTCCCAACTCTACGCCAAATCAGACAGCAAGCATTGCTGGCCAGAACTCTAGAATCGCTAGCCATAGATGTATGCTGTGTTTCTGAGACACATATACACGGCGAGAGTTAGGTTATTCACTTGATCTTACCTGGCCAGTGTGGTGAATCTGAGAAATCCACTTTGCGAGCATCCAGAGAACCAGTGGCTAGCTCTCATGACTCGCTTGTGTGGGCATAGCTTTGAGTTGTAGAGCAGAAAGCGTACTTTCCGAGTGAACATGTCAAGAGCCACCTGTCTGCCGTTTGATTGAATGCATCTTAAAAACCTACATAAGATTGCGAGGCTAGCCGATCCTTATAAGTAATCTCCGTCTACACGCCCACCGACCACAGTTCGGATGATGTAAAGGATGGATTCTGTCAAAACCTGTAAATTTCGTTACTTATAGCAAGGTGTAACGCTTAAGTAGAAAAAGTGAGTCAGTCGAAAGTGCTTCATGAAGGTATCCACAGAGTCGCGTGTCAACAAACCGACAACGGTAATCTACCATTGCAATTTTGCTACGATGATAACTTGTTCCTGATCAGTATCGACTTCAAGCAAAAGGAGAGATACCGTTTTACATAGCGTTCACCAAAATCAAACTAACGATCGACACAGATAAACCATTTTGCCATAGGTCATCGTTGAGGAGGATCGGCGAAGGATTCTCGCTAGTTAGGATGATATAAATTTCGCATAAGAAACAGAGGTAGACAACATAAGTGGTAACATACATCCAAAAGTTAGTAAACGACAGTAGATTTCTACAACTTCATTCGAACTGACTCCGACGATGAAGAGCGAAAGCAGCTCAAACGTGAAATGAATAAGAGTTTTCGCAATGATCGCAAGCAAAGATGGTTGGCGAAAGTGAAATTAATGGAGAAGGCATCAACAGTGTGTAATACCTGACAATAACTCAAGCTAATTAGAGATACCGACAAGAAGAAGACGATGGTTAGTGAAACCACCACCTAAAAGGATGGTACGCTGATGACTTCTCATGAAAGACAGAATGTTGGGAAGAAGTACAGTTCAACTGGATCATAGAAATGTTTGAATTGCATAGCATCTACTCTGAATATGAATAAGATGTAGATGTCAGCCTTCCAAACCCACAAAATGGGGGTTGTTTCGAAACTGAAAGGATGAGAAGCGACAGGATTTTATAGTTTGCTACCCGATGTATTCAAGGAAGAAGGTTTTTAACTTCTGAGTAGAGTAACGCGAGTACTAGGTAGTGTACGGGAATCATAGGTTATTCGGTAAGACTGATTTACTTCACTGACTATCTCAGTTTTTAAGAAGGGAGAGAAGTCTTCCTATGACACCAAACGGAGGACCAGTTTAAGCAGCATAGTGTCCAAACTCCCTGTGTTCATAGTTATCCGACGTCTAACTGGAGCTCGAGAACAGCAAACGCGAGAAAACCAGGTAGATGTCATAGCTAGACCAGGGTTCATTGATCAGATTTTAGCTCTCCAACAGGTCGTGGAACACCGGCATACTACTTACCGGCTGCCGACACTTGCCATATTTGTTGAGCTGAAGGTGACATTCGACTATTTTGAGTGAAGGGTGTCCTGTTGTAGCAGTGTCCGAATGTGAAAGGAGTACCGAGTAAGTATTTGGAGCTAATCGGAGCTCTCTACTCGAACTCAGGTAGCCAGGCCATATAGAGAGTTGTCATTTAAATTGATGACAACTAGTGATTTACGCTAGGAATGCTCACCATCACTATTCCTGTTGAACTTCATTGTAGATGTCTTAATGGACATAACATTAGGTACCTCCGACTTCACAAGGATCGATCTACTCCTTGGAGGATATCTAATTGACCTGCAATACAAAGAAGAAATTGTCCTGCTGTATGAAGACGCTGACAAATTGCAGGCCTTCTGAAAACCATGAGCAGAATTTTGAGTACGTTTAGCATGCGTTTCGCTCCTGTCAAAAGTAAGATCACGTTCCAAAACTGGTCTCCAGCTGCTTCTAGTTTAAGGATAGGAGGTTCAGTGGTTGAATGGGTCGACCACTCTGGCGCCCACTGGCGAGATATGTATATATCTTTTACAGGATGAATAAACCATGCCGCAGTCCATTTGTCCTGTTATACGGCTGTGAAATATGACCGCTGAAAGTAAAAGATATGTATGTGTACAGCGTAATTACTACGTGAGGAATGTCCGGGTAAGGCGAAAAGTACTAAGCAGGGAAGGAAGGTCATCGATGAGATTGTGAACCTACAGTGACTGAGGTGATTTAGAAATGCGTTGCGTTGCCCAACCACTGCCTAACTCGAAGTGCAATGCTGGGAGAAGTTGAATTAAGTAGGTAGAGGGCTTAGATCTAGTCTAAGACGTGACACACGTTCACGAAGTCCCTGACTGTTGGTGTGAATCGTGTAGGAAGGCGTAGACTACTCGACTGGCATCTTCGATACCTTAGGAATTAGTGGTTGAAGACTCTTGATGCAATGGCTGAAAATGGTTCACAATGGCCTAGATGTATTCATAATTTGACATCTTCTAAAGCTTGAATATTTTCACTAACTTTTATCGTCAAATTGTTTCTCTTTCCACACACCTTTGTCGATTTTGATATTAGCCTTTTTCTATCCACTTGTTCTTTGCGTGCTACTGTGGAGTGTGGCATCTTGAAACGATAAACTTGTGTGAGAGATTCTATATTGATTTTGTCTGTCTGTCATCCTGATGAATTCTACATTGATGTGCTGATGTAAGGTAACCTGGACAATCACACAATAGTTTCAGGTCCTACGTTGACGTCGACTGATGGACAGGGAAGTCTTTAACAGAACACAGTATAATGGAAAAACTACGAGATAGAAACATTCCGGCCACATCATTCTGAAGGAACGTAGGTATGAAGAAAGCCAATTTAACAAACTGTTATTTAAAATGAAGTGAATTGATTCAGAGTATGGTGATGCAAAACGCAACTGTGAAGAGTTGAAGTTCTATCTTATGAGTGTAGATTTTTGGATTGATGAAGGTGCAAATTTCAAGAGGTACTTTTAAACGAAATTTAATAATGTATTTCGAATATGCAAAAAGAATGAGTAACGGGTTCCATATTAGATTTGTTTATTTGATATAAAGCGCACAGTGATACAGTATTATTTAATTGATTACGTTTCGAGCATAAATTATTGCTCATAATCATATCAATGTGATATGATATGTGATATGATTATGAGCAATAATTTATGCTCGAAACGTAATCAATTAAATAATACTGTATCACTGTGCGCTTTATATCAAATAAACAAATCTAATATGGAACTACATTCTACCACAGTGCCCAAGTTTTTCACTTATATTAATGAGTAACGGGTTGTTTAGTAAATGTATTTAACTTGTTATTTACTTGAATAAAACGGGGTAAGTGTGTGTGGTAATCTCTATCACATTTCAGTACATGCCATCTCACCTCACAACTATTTAGATGGTGTTTTTAGTTAACGCTAGCAATCGTACAAGAAAAAGTGGTGGTCAAACGCTCTAAGTTGTCATGTATGCTCAACTTGGAGGCTAGGCTTCACAGGCGTGGAGCAGAAATGCCAGTACCGATGCGTTGTTTACTCGACACATGCTGCTTCAGTTTTCGATTTACAGGTAAAAATCTCATCAGTCACATCTCCATCAACACTCACACAAACACCGGGGTGAACGAATATCTAAACTGCTTCCACTACTGAGTACAGGCATACTCTTTTGTCACTCTTCTGAAAGCACAGAGTAGAGGTGATTTTGAATGGGCTCTCAAGATGTTTAAAATTGTATAAGAAACATGCCTCTTCAATAGTCAGTTTCAGATAACATCCCTGTCGAACAAATTAAAGGTAGCTCTAGCATCCAGAAATCCAGTGGTCGTTAACCAGTAGTACATGTGACGGTGCTCAAGTATCTGTGGGAGAGCGAACGCACCCATGACCCAAACGAAACCCGAACTGATCGTCACAGATCAGTTTTCTGAACCTTTTGCAGAGCCTGCAATTATGATAGCAGACAATACTTGACGCGCTAATGGAAGTAGACTGACACATCAACAGTTATGACAAACATTAAGTAGAAAATTTTAAAAAATGGGTAGCACGATGGCTTCATTCCAGAGTGATGAACACCCAGTCCACATCTCAAGCAATGTAGTCGGTTCCATGACTACAGACTCATCTCCATTCTTATCGAAAGCAAGGGGTAGGGCTTCTTCGTCGAATGCCTTAAAACCTGGAGTTCCTCACATACCTCCCATTTGTTAGGTCAGTGAGTGATATATATATAAAAGTAAAACGAATCGTTTACCTGACCCAAAAGCGAAGAACACAGTCGAGCTGAGAGACACTTGTATAGTTGGTGTTGTACATCTGGTGGGAAATTTATAAGTTCACAGTATCCGCCGCGAAGACCACACCTAGTAGATAAATATAATTTAATATACATGGATGACTGACAAAACGATAACTTGGTTCATCTCAATATAAATTCACTTACTAATGTTTCTTTCATTTGAATGTGATTCTACAGGCACTAACCAAATTTTTGACATGGTTATTACACACATTTCAGTTAAAATGCTCATGTCCTATAATCCATCCCAACTCCATGTTGATTTACGTCAAGAAAGTGTAGAGCACTGAGGAAGACATTGTTCTTTTATCATCCTACTATTGTGTTAATTATCTGCAGTCGGAACAGCCAAAAATGACACTAAAAGAATCCATGAAGTTATTTGCAGATCACCAGTGAATACCACGTCAGTGATTTGACATGATTAAATTCAACAGAGTGTGTTCCATCTTCAAAAGTTTTTTCTTCACTTATGCTCTCCGACTAAAATTATTACCTACATAAGATTTTGACTACAAGTTATCAAATATTGTAACCTGTAGCTAAATATAAGATTAAATTCATTACATACATATATAGTATTTGACAACATATATTTATGATCAGTTTCACCATCTGAGACAGCCGTGGTTTGATAGACTTGCACTGATACTGGGTGATGATTGAATGTAAAATGAAAATCTGGGTCGCGGCAGGATTCAAACCAGCAACCACCAGGGTTCCAGTTCAGTAGTGATGTGATACTAACGTGTCACGAATTCACATGGCAGTCAACCTAAACTCTTGGTGATTGGAATGAAATAAAAACCTAGTCAGCAGTTGGGTCTCGTAGCCCAGTTGACAGGGCACTGATCCAGAAACCAGGTGGTCACTGGTTCGATTCCTACAGCAGTAAACATTTTCATCTAACCTTCGATCATTACCTTGTACCAATATGCTAACTAAACACTTTTTTTTCTTAACCTCTACACAGTGAGTTTCCATCTTATTGGTAGAACTCCGTAAAGTAATTAGTGACGTTCCAAACCCTGATACTCTGAGGTTAATCTGATTCTTCAATATTGCAAATAGTCTTGGCTGAGGAGAAATCAGGCCTAGAGTTTCTTGTAGACTGACTTCTAACATCTAATAGCGTATGCGAATGAATGCAAATAATTGATTACAAACTTGTTGACAGAGAATCGTCCTGCAAAATAATTCCTCTTATGGAATGACGCGTATATGTTCGCACTTTATTCAAATGTTTGATATGCGTGTTCCTATAAACTGCTTATGATTTATACCTGAGGGTTAACTACACTGAGATATTATGAATGCTTGCCCAAGTTAGTAAAAGGGGGAGTCAATTTGAAAAAAAAACTTTTGTCTTTTATTGTTTAAACCTATAGGAAGCTATTTTATTGGAGGAAATAAGCACTATAATCAGTGACAATTTAAATTAAAACCATACCCCGTAAACCAATCCAATCGCTTAATAAACTTCAAAGCATAAAGAAAATATCAAACATAAAACAAAATTATTCCCCGCTGGAATCGGAGAGACGAAATGACGCCGGTTGGTGAAAGCCTTCGGGAAGCCAATTGGCCGATGTGTCTTCTCTCGATGAAAGCGAAAGTAAACGTGGGGATATGGAATGTCCGCACCATGTATGAACCTACCAAGGCTGCCTAGATTGCAAAAGACATGAGAAGATATGGAATGGAAGCGTTTGGAATCTGCGAAATCAGATGGAATGGAAGCAGACTCTCTAAACTCTTCGCTGGAGAATTAATAATGTACTCCAGTCACTCAGACGACAACCACGAGCACAGAACACTAATTTTTGGAGTGGCTATCATGATTTCCTCAAGAACATCAAAAGCTCTCATGCAGTAGGAACCAATCTCCTCCAGGATCATGACGGCAAGATTCAACTCAAAAGGAAGGGGATTCACAATCATTCAATGCAACACACCTACAAATAATGCAGATGAAGAGAAGAAGGAGGAAATCTATAGACAAATGCAATCAGTACTAGACATGACACCAGTTGAAGACATCAAAATTCTAATGGGCGACTTGAATGCCAGCCAAATGGGAGCGGGCAACATAGGAAGAGAACTCATCATGGGTCGAGAAGCACTCAGTGAAGTGATGAATGAGAACGGAGAACAGTTTACAGATTTCCGCGCATTAGACGATTTGGTGATTGGAGTCAGGCAGTGTGTACAAACACAAGGATATTCACAAGGCAGCGACATGGATTTCACCAGATCGATGCACTACACTAAAAATCACATCGACTTCATCTCAATGTGAAGAAAAAAAGGGCAGGCAGCCTACTCGACACAAGATTAGACCAGGAAGGGGAGCAGATGTAGGTTCAAACCACTATCTAGTGCAAGGAACCTTCAAAATCAAGTTGAAAGCCTTGAAAGAAGTTGGTGATAGACCACAGTTCAAGTTTAACACCCAGAACAGAAACTGAAGTACGAAACTACAAAGGACACCTTCACGTCAGTCAGTCATCAGGAAACAATGAGAGACATTAGGCAACATCCCTGAAGGATCGGACGTGGAAGAACACTGGAACTCTGTGAAAGAGATGTGGAAAGAAACCTGCATTACTTGCATTGGAGAGGAAGAGGAAAGAAGACAGGACAAGGAATGGATCTCAAAGCTGATAGAGGAGTGAGAGGAGGATGGTGAAGCAGAAAACAAACCAGTGCAGTGCAGTCCAAGGATGAACAATGAAAGAGAAACTGAATACAACATATAAAACACTACAATGAACAAAGAAGTGAAGAAGACACTTCTACGACACATTGGCAAGTGAAGCAGAATAGGCTGCTGGTAGGAGAGACAGAGACCTGACAACATTATATCAACTAACCAGGTTACTACCTGGAAGGGAGGAGATCAACACAGATGAAACCAATGAGAGATGGTGAAGGAAAGCTGATTACCACCAAAGAGGAGCAATAAACGAAACGATGGGCTGACCACTTCAAAACGCTCTTGAATCGACCATAATCACTACCACAAACGGCAACTCGTCCAGAAATATTCCCAATAGTCCAGCCACAGAAATACCAGTGGACATGAGCCCTCCGTCAAAACCAGAAGTCCTGAACGCCATAAAGTCGCTGAAACCCGGCAAAGCAGCAGGACCAGGTGGGATCCCACCAGAAGCACTGAAAAAAGACGAAGAGACGTAAGAAGTGGACATGCTCACACCACACCACTACTGCAGAAGTTTTGAAAGAAAGGAAGGAAAGGTAGCTGCGGATTGATTGAAAGAATGGCTACCTTGTCGAACTCCCAAGGAAGGGAGACCTAAGTCTTTGCAAGAACTCGAACGGAATCATGCTCCTGTCAACATCTGGCAAAATATCAAGCTGCATCATCCTGGAGAGACTAGGAGATGCTCTGCATTCAAAATTACGACCGGAACAGGCTGGCTGGCTGGATTCAGGAAAAACATATCATGTGTGGGTCGAATTACAACACTACGCATCATCTCATCATAGACAGAGCATAGAATGGTAGTCAACTCTCTACCTCAACTTCATCGATTTTGGAAAGGCCTTCGACAGCGTCGACCGACAGTAATTTGTCAGGCAGTTGCTTCAAAACTAAGGTTTTAGTGTCACATATCTTTATCAACCTCATTCAACAGCTATATGAAGACACCACATGCCAGGTGATCCACAATGGAAAGCTGAGTGACGCCTTTGAAGTGAAGACAGGAGTAAGATAAGGTTGCTGTCTACTATCACCCATGATCTTCCTGGTTGTTGTCGACTAGACTGGACTGGATCATGCAGCAAACTGTGAGGAGCGAGAAGATGAGCATATGCTGGAGCAATGAAAAGACCGTACAAGATTTGCATTTAGCCGATGACTTTCGTCTGATGTCTTGTTGCAGAAACTCGAAGATCTACAGGCGAAAACTAACAAGTTGACAGAGAAGGCAGGGCAGCGAAGACGGGACTTCCAGTGAATGTAGAGAAGACATAGGTGATGAAGATACCCAACCAACAACAGCATCAACAACAAGCACCAACCACCATGAACGGGAGAAACCTAAAGAAGTTGTCTATTTTACCTACCTACCTGGGCAACATCGTTTCAACTGCAGGCGGCACAGACGAGGATGTCAAGACCGGGATCGGAAAGACAGCAAGACAGACTTTCATCAATCTGAAATCAGTGAGGAGATCTACTGCACTCAGCACAAAGAACAAGGTCCGGATTTCCAATACCAGTATCAAGTCAGTGCTTCTGTATGGTCCAGAAACTTGGCGTGTCACGAAAAGCATTTCCAACGAACTGCAGACATTCATCAACAGCTGCCACCTACGCTCACTCGATACTGAACATCGATCAGATGGCCAGAATAATAAGAATAAGCAACAAGGAACTGTAGCCGGATAAAGAACCAATCAAGAACCTATCACCCAACAAATATGAATGAGAAGAAAGTGGAGATGGATTGAGAATACACTGAGAAGGCCGATTGGAGACATGTGCCAGGCTCTCGAGTGGAGTCCAAATGGGAAACGATGAGTTGGGCGTCCGAGGTGAGGGTGACATGGAGGAGATCATGTGAGGAAAAATTGAAAGTTTGTGGGCAGTCGTGGAGCCAGGTTGAAAAGACTGAAGAGAAGAGAGTGAAATGGAGGCGTGTTACTGAAGCCCTACTTTCCACTAGGAACCCAAGGGAAAAAAAAATAATAATCATAGTGTAGCGTCACATTTCGTGATTATATAGATTTTTGACCAAAATCAAAATCAAGTTTCACTGTGGTCTGCTTGAGGTGATTAATAACTAGCTTGTTTGAAAGTTGACTTTTGTTTTTTAGAAGTAGTCAAAAGGAAGTTACAGAATTAGATTTATATTTTTGCGGTACATACCTTTTTGACGTAGCCATATTTTTGAGGCAGTTCTTTCCTGCTTTCAGTCAAAGCTATGGTTTACACAAAACTGGGTCACAGAGGTCCTGAAAACTACCTAGAAATATTTACTAGCAAATATTGTGTTCACAGCCTCGTATCAATTTATGTACGGGTTAAATTACGCCCAATAATGGAGGTGATTAGTATCAAGTGAAACTGTCGATTGTGATGGTACTTATTAAATTAAACTTACTCCCCCATATAGCCTTTACTACTTGACATGAATGATGCTAATTGCAACTCTTTAGAAATTCTCCCACCAATATCATGCAGAGCACGTTTAAATGAAACAAATCCTCTATTTTGTGCATAAATATTATGCTGATAAACTTCATCAGCAAGTACCACCAAATTGTGCTTGTAAGCAAATTCTAAAACATTTGTTATTGTTTCCTTCGGTAGTAATTGTCCAGTTGGATTGCCCGGATTGATTACTACTAAGGCTTGAGGAACACACTTATTTTTGCATTTTTCTAAAGCTTCCTCTAACTGTTCAACATTTAAGTTCCACTCATTTGACTCGTCAAGATAATAGTCGATCTACAGCAAAGAAAAGAATATATACAAGAAGAATTTAAGTGGTTTTATTATTAATATATCGACATTTGTTACCAGTTTTCAATTTGTAGTTTGATATGGTCAAATTCACGTACCGATGCGCAAATCATCTTAGTAGATATGCGACCAAAAGGTTCGAAATTTTTTCAAATAACTCATATAGGATATATGTACGTAATAGACATCTAATGATCCCCTACATCTATATGATAAAAAAAATTAACTACTGTTATTTATTATCATTTGTAAAAACAGTCATTCGAAATCCCCTTGATGACAGTTTATTAAAAACAGGATCTTATCTCACATAAATACGACAAACCCACAAGAGAATAACTATCTTTTATTCACGACTCTCTACATCAGCATGTCCTTGGCTGAAGTGTCATATATATATACGACTGACCGATTTCCAAGTGAGATCAACAATAGCTAAGAAAAGTGGAATACGAATGGTACAAAGGGTGAAGAACATTGTCAAGTCTGGAAGTCTCAACTAAAGGTCGATATCCAAATAAAAACTACAGGGTATGCATACAACACAGGATTTGATAATAACAAGAGAAATTGAAAAATCAAGAAGGCAACACAAAGCACACTAAAGTCCTCATGAGAAAACCGGTAAAAAAAAATTAAAAACTACTTAGAACGGACAAAATAAGTGGCTACATGACCAACTAATCAAAACAACCACTGACAAAAGTGCAAATTTTTATTCAGGAATGGTTGAATTGCAATACAAGGCACACATCAAAAGCGGAACACTTTGCAGCATTGGAATCATTGCTCAAATTAAATAAGGAAACTTATCGGAAAAAACGGTTAACAGCTGTACCCTTAACCAGACAAAACAAAGATTAAACTCAGCCGACAACAGAAAGCATGAATAAAGGACTGAAAATAGGGAAAACATCGTTATGCTCCCGACAGATGAAGGACACACCATGGTAGTCATGTTCCAGAAAGACTACATCAAGAAGGTTAAGAATTTTCTCAAGCACGAGGTGTATCCTCAACCACTTGCATTCTTTAACGATAGCACTAGTAGAAAGGAGTTCTCAGCCGCTATTGTGTTTCCGTATAAGAAAGGAATATCAGAGACTGTACGGAGAATTCTCAACGAGACCTATAAACTCACTCATAGATAAGCTTTGCCGCCTGGCTTAAGGATCCGTTAGATCCAATTAAGCAAAATAATCTAATCTAACAATTTCAGGTCAAGTACATAGGTCAAACTAGTCGGTTGGGGTCAGTTAGAATAGCCAAACATAGGAATTTAGCCAAATGTAGAATGACAGACTTGAACAAGATCAATAATCTAGAAGACAGGTTGGCTATTGCAATGCATGCATTAACACAACCACTGTACTTAAGTCCAATATAATTGGGTGGTGAGAGAGATTGTTACTAATCAAATCAGCACGCAACACATGTAATCGGAATTACACAACATCTATACTAGAGATGTGGAAAATTTTACTACTACTAGAAACAACTAATACGAATTGTTAGGATTATAAAACTCGTGTTATGTTCTCTGAGCTGGGTGGATTACTCATGAAACTTTCATTGTATTTCTAGACAACATCATCAGGTGATATTGATGGTGTTAACAATGGTGTCTAGAAAGACAATGAAAGGTTTACGATCAAATCACACAGTTAAAAGAGAGCAGCACAACCACGATCACCTACCAGAACTACAAAGATTCTCCATCATTTCAAGACTATAAAAGAGGAGAGGTAGAAATTTGTGTGGCTACTTTTGTATGATTATGAGCAATAGTTTACGTTGGAAACTTCAACAAGTTAATAATACTGTGTCGCTGTGCGCTATATCAAATAATCAGATCTAATATGGGATTACATTCTATCACAGTGATCAAGTTTTTACACTTTTACACTTTAATTATTCAACCAATTGAGACTAACCCTGTTCAAAAATTTGACAACCAGATCATCGAACCCTTGAACAAAGTCTTCAAAGTAGGAAAAATAACAGAACAAGATAAGTGGTGAATGAAATCGAATGAACCCATTCATTATCGACTGTAGGGCAGACTGGTACTACAACACCAAGAATTCCTCCACCACCAAGAGTCTAATTCTAGGGGACCCCAGTCTACAAATTCTCCAGAACGTTTACGAGTAAACTAAAATACCCTGTGAGGTCTTGCGGACATTTCGTAAAATCGCCGAGAGAATTTTCGGAAAGGATTCGCATAGATAACTAGTGGTGATCTTCGATGGTCACAGGACTATGCACATCAGTTAAACCACAACTCCCTAATTATCCTATGTCTCTCCTCTTTACCAATGACACAAGGCCCTCGGAATGAACAAATCTTGAGTGTTTGTGCCTGATAGAACTCATTGATCTTTGTCCAACAATATATTTTCAATACAGTGGTAAGATGTACAAACAAATGAAAGGAACTCTAATGGGATCAATGCTATTTGAATTAGTTGTAGCAGTAACGGAGAGACTGGTTCCTCTTGTCCCGTGGACCCCAACCACCTAGTCTGCATCGTCCTACATGGCTTAAACCAACAGTCAGAGACTTCATGCATTGGTGCCATGTTTTAGTGTGGCCACCTCGGGCCTTTTTCCAGCCTGAGCCCACCTCAGCCAACATTGTGTGACGAGGCAATCGGTGACTAGGCATACGTAGTACGTGTCCCAACCATCTCAGTCGATGAAGGTTCACAACCTCGTCGACTGACTTACCTCTTCTCCCTAAAACTCTACACCTAACTTCTGCATTACTCACATGGTGACACCACGGAATACGTCCTATACTACGAAGGCAACGGTGGTCAAATACCTGTAACCTTCTCATGTCTTCCACTTTCAATGGCCATGTTTCACAGCCATACAGTAGAACAGACCGGACTGCTGTGCAGTACACGCGACCCTTAATAGACAAACGAATATCACGGCGGCGCCATAGGTGGCGCAAATTGGCAAAAGCCAATCGAGCCTTTTGTATCCGTGCCGAAATCTCCTCTCAGAATTGGTGGCTCATAAAAAACAAGTTCCCTTCAAACTATATTATACAGACCGAAAGACGCGAAAGCCACAGAAGATGAACCAAATATCATTTACAAAGTCAACTGCAGTGATTGTGATCAACCCTAAATTGGATAAAGTGGTCTCCCTCCTCGTCCCTGTCAACATGAACACTAATTGGCCAGTAAGCCTCACGATACTTCGTCACTAATATCAATGCACGTGAATAACTCAACTTTGAAAATGTAGGGAAAATGAAAGAGAAAACACAAAGAATATCGAAAAACTCCTAGAAGATGGCAGTCACGTCAACCACTAATCAATAAATGTATAGACATAGACCCAATCTATCAGTCGATCAGAAAAATGATAAAGAACTACGAGATTAGAGATCAGGTAGAGAGACAAACAACAGCAAAATCTATGCGGTCAATAACGCAACAATCAAAGGAAACAAACAATCACAAAGCAGTTCGTCAGGGCAAGCTATTGAATAACTAACAGAGAAATCCGGATAGTTCACGTCATATTGGAGTTATTGCTGATGATGTCTAGAAGGAATGAAAATTTCGCTAGTAAACCATCCGACTCAGAGAACATAACACAACTGGGATTTCTCACCCAAGCTGCAAATGTTTCCCACCGTACTCGAACTTACATTTAAAATATGTAAAAGATCGCGAATTTCGACAACGTTTTCACTAAACAAGACTGTTTTGTTTATGTTCAGCAAGTCAAATACCATATTAATTATTGAGGAATTCGTAGGCAGTAGGTGGAACTATGTTTGACCATTATAGCCATACGAAAGTTGAATATCAACGGATAGAGTAGACATCCCTGGCAGATACCCCTGGTTTCCTTCACAATAAATTATTTATGGGACTGTATGGGTTCAAATAGAGGGCTTTGATTAACGTAATGGCGATCGTTTGGTACTTCCTTCATAGTCAGTTACTACAACGCCTTTCGATTAGCTAAGTGGAAAACCGCATCCAGGTCAAGAAATATAACTAGTGATTAGCATCAATGAGTATATCTCTGTTCCAGAGAGTTTCAAAAGGTGATCCAACCTAGCCACTTTTGCCCAAGACTGTGATGCGTCCAGTTCTCCCAAGTTTATTGGTTCCAAGAGTCAAATGACCATGGAATGTAGGCTTTTACATAGTGTTAGTCAGACTAATTCGATCATAACCAGAGGAATATTTTTCTTCTTCCTTATAAAACTGGATTATTTAATGACTTGAACTAGTCTAACAGAAGTATTTTTGATTACCATACATAAATGTCAGTGACTGATTAACAATAAACTTCAGGCCTTATGCCAATAAATCGTTAACTTATTCTACTTTGCCCAGTTTAGAGTCAGAAATCGTGTGATTTTGAGAATTCAGATTACCTGATGAGAATAGGATTGCGTGGTGAAGAATTGAAGCATGGTAAAATGAAGGAGCTGTTCTCAAAAACGCTTGACTAATCGTTTAAATTGTACCTTCTGACGCATAATCAAAGTTCGGCAACAGAAGAACCGAGTTTAATTTCTTTATGAACGTGTACTAAAAAGAAACATTCCCAATAGGTTCCTTAAACATGAGCATGCTTACCAGAATGCCAGAATGCTTTCACTACTTGGCAAATTTAATTTTCTATTGACAGTGTCTGACTGTAAAGGGAATGGTAATGAGTAAATGAATGTTCTGTACTTGAGTTCACTTACTTGAGTACGGGTTTTTTATGAAAAATGATTAAATGAGATGACAGAAAACTGTTTTGCCTACTTTAGTAATAGCCAATATTACCAGTCCTGTTTAATTGTGCTCGAAATATACTGATGGAGATGATGGTGCCCACTTCCAACTGATCCAAAATTCATATTTCATGGGGAAAATTCCTAACCAGTTTAACTCTTCCAAATGACAGTTCTGACCTAATCTATCATATGGACTAGATACTGTAACAGACAATTGATGCTATTAGGAAGTAACAAGTATTCGACTACAAATCCATTCAAAAATGTCAACCGCATGTGAATCAGTCATTGAATGATCAACGTTTAGGAGAGATGTAGAATTCAAAGCAAATAAGGTTATAAAGATGTACCAGCTGAGGTAGTTAGGCCATTCGAACGAACCAAACTTTTGAAATACACATTTGTAATTTGGACTTTACAACTTCCACGATATTTATTAAACAAATTAAAGTAAAAATAATCTTTTAAAGTTAATAATAATACTAACTTAGGAGGACAAACAATCTTCTTGCTCTTTTATAAACAATAGTTGATTTACAGTTGAAATATTGTATTTTTGTCTTTGCCACTAACTAGGGTGTCATCAACACAACATGGGAATCTTTTTAGTTAGATCATCGGTTAATTGGAGTGACAAGAGTGGTACGGCCTTTCCTCCTCCTCTTCCTCGTTTGAATCATAAATCAAATTAGTGAAATTGTATGTTTGTAGCATTCTAGAATCATATTTGTTAAGTGTACCTTGAATAAAAATGAGATATTCTGTGTTTTCTGAGTGATTGCATAAATAACAGGTCATGTGTACTTAAAACAAAGTATTATTCAAAAGTCATTGGGTTATTTTGCTAAATTTTGTGAATTAGGTAAATCAGTTAATAAATTAATCGTGAATTTTTATCATTTAAAATGTGCTATGAAACCTTTTTGATTTGAACTTACTTTTTGTCGATAAATTTATGTTACAGTCGGTCTTCAGTCTGTTAATCATACTTAATGTTTACTTGTAGTAATTTAAAAGCCTCAAAAGTTCGTATTTTGGTTGATATCAGCTACTATACACTGCTGTTTACGCTAAAAATGCATTGTTTACTTATTACTCTGATGTTAATTAGGTAGAATCTGTAAGTGAAACGCTATAGATACAACTTCTATCCATGTTAATAAAGTCAACCTCGAGTGTTGAGAAAAGTTGGGCATGAAATTCAACTTCACAGTTTAGTTGTTTGGATTATGGATAAAGTACTGTAGAAATGATCCACACATTCGAATGAGCTACTGAATGGTAATCAGTCCTAAATGATAGTACTGGTAATAAAGTAAATTTTACCCATCGAAAAATTCATTATTTAAATTAACTTCAATGAATTAATCCCTATTGCACCGATCATTATGCTTCAAATTTATTTATCACTTTGACTCTCTGAGACAGCCGGACTAGTACTGATACTGGGCGATGATTGAAGGTGAAATGAAAATTTGGACCGTGGCCGGATTCTAACCCAGTGGTTGCTGGTTCAGTCATCACCCAGTATCAAATTTATTTGCCAGTTTCGCATGTGTAGATTCTCTAGTATGTTAAGTATATAGTGAAGTAACCCAGGTAATAATAAAACTGTTAATTTCCAATCAAAAGTTAACCGTACGAACTGGATAATGAAGAAACACTGCTAATGGTATGCACAGATAGTGAATAATGAGTAAATAAACACTAGCGACCAACAGCTGTGTTACACTTGAGTTTATAATCCCGTCAAAAGTTGCTCATAATCTTATAAGGAATTTTAATTAACGCCTTGGACCAATATTATTGGTAAACCGCTTTGGGCGCACGTAGTACATGACATGATACCATAACTTTCAAAAAGAACTGTCCCACGAACCATATACGTGTTTAAGCATTAGATAGTGAGTCAAACTTATTATTTGCAGGCTAGTGATGCTGCTACTTGGCTGCTCAAATACTGTTAGAAGGTGGGCTCGAAATCGTGACCCACTGTCTGAAGGTTACCTGTCCAGATAGGGAGATACAGTCCTCCACTTAATTGACAAAATAGTCAAGTTACAAATTCAAAGGTAAGTGTCAGTTTATACACTAAACAAGGCACTTCAAGAGATAGTATGACTTAAAGGAATCAGTTTTGTCCGGAAATTCATCTAGTAAACACTAATACATCAATTATGTGATTCACGAAGTCAACAACTTCATATAAGGTTATCAACTAAAACAATATAAACAATCGAAGCATGTATTAATAAAATCCTATTATGAGAAACTACCCGTCTACATTAGTGCAAAGAAATACACAAAAATAGAGGTGATTATTTATTCCATCCAGATGATAAGAATAAGGACGAAACGAACATCCTGCCAAATGTCATAGGAAATTGGTCGAATGTAAAAAAAGATTCGAAAGATACAAGTCCCATTACATTTGAGAAGCAATTGAGTGCGATTGACTGACTGACAAAATCAACGTAAAACCTCGCACCAGGTGCAGTGGCTCAAGTTGTTACACTTCACTGTAGTATACGGAGAACAAATGGATGGAAAAGCAGTGATATCAAAGTAGACAAAATTGTGTGAGGAAATAATTAATCTGAAGATTAAGGTTAGTGCGAATATTCAAGATGTAAAAGATACTAATGCGACCGATTTTCAGCCATGTCACCAGGAGTTCTCAAGCTTTGATCCCTTTCGTCTCGAGGACCTCAATCAGGTAGTCTACGTCTCCTTGCACGACTCAGATCAACAGTAACAGACTTCATCGACTGGTGCCAGGTCTTGGTATGGCCCACCATGAACTCTCTTTGAACCTAATCCAACTTCCCCAAAATAGTATATTAAGGTAGGTGATAACTCGGCATGTGCAGTACATGTCCAAGCCATCTCAGCCGATGAAGGTTCACAACCTCATCAATCGACTTTCTTCCTTGCCTAGTACCCATCGTCTGACCTTTACATTGCTCACACGGTGATTCCACCAAAACGAGAGCAATGCTACGAAGACTTCTGCGGCCAAAACCCAGTAATCACTTCGCATCTTTTATTTTTAACGGCCATGCCTCAGCTGTACAACATGAGAGAGTGAAGTGCAGCGCAGTGTGCTCGACCTTTGCTACATAGTCGGATATCTCAGTAGTTGGTGTCAGAAATGACACCAGTTGGCAAGTCTTAGGTGGGTCTTTAGTATCCGAGCCGAGATTTCGTCAGTAGCCTGCCTGTTCTGGCTGATGCAACTACTCGAATAAGTGAAGTGGTCGACGCATTCCACCACTTCACTCCCAATTATTAAAGTGTGGTTATCTGGAGATCAGTTGAGGAACATCATCTTACATTTGGCGGCATGCCAAACATAGTCAGAGTTTTGCTCAACCCGTCTAAAAGACTTTGCATTTCGCTAGCGTCTTCACCTAACAGGACAACATCATTTGCATACTCTAAGTCAACCAGATAACCTCCAGGGAGTACATCAGTCCTAATGAAGTCAGACGTCCGCAAAGTTATGTCAATTGGTACGTCTATGACGAAGTTAAATAAGAAGGGTGACAGTGGATATCCCTAGTGAATACCACTAGCTGTTATCAATTCAAATGCAGCCCTGACACGTCTGCGTGAGTTTGAGTAGTGAGCTTTGACTAGCGTTACGTAATTTCTCCGTATTCCATTCACAGCCAAACACTGCCACAACATCTCGCTGTCGAGTGAGTTAATTTCCGCCTTCAGGTCAAGAAATATGGCAAGTGCCGGTCGCCGGTAGGTATGTCTCTGTTCCGTAACCTGTCGGAGGGTAAAAATGTGATCAATGCACCCCGACCCAGGTATGAAACGTCCCTGATTTTCTTGAGTTTGCTCTTCTCGGGATTCAGTTAGGCATCGGTAATTTATTGAATATAGCTATCAAATTCAGTGGGTAAGTGAATGTTGACACAACATATTGTTTTGCAAAAAGCAACACGGAGCAAATAAGCATATTTTTACTAATTATCAACGTTTGTATCCGTAAATGTTGCAAACTATCGACTTTCCTTATAGCAACATAGCAGGTTAAATTATATTTACAAACATTTGATGTTGATGCCTGTAAAACCAACCTGCAAGATAATTTATTTTCGGAAATGCATAAATGAAGTAAATCAAACATCCACATGCTACATACTTCAGGAGAAATAATCTTCATGCGTAATCGTAGGAGTTCACTTCCTTGAGAAGCACTGAAGATGACAAATAAGTTGATGTCAAAAGCTTTGACTAAGAAAACCGAAGATTGAAGCAACCCTTTCATCAGAAAATCAGTAAACTAACCTTCAAATATTTTGAAACTTTTCAATATCTAAGTAGTATCATTTCACTTTAAACTTTAGTGGTTGAATTTTTCATGACAAAAAAGATTTTTTTTTAAAAATAGCATATTTTTAGTAAAATCGAGCTCACCTGATAAGCATTATATTCAGCATTCGTTGCTGAATAAAGAGGATATTGTGGGATAGGAACCATGACACCAGTACGTTTACATCCATCTCCAGTAGATATTAACTGTAGGATAGACTACAAAAGAAATGAAAGGGAGCACTTAAACTTATTTCAATAGAATTTCCTTTCTCACTTTCGACTGAAATACAAAATAATTACCAGAAGAATCAAAAAACATCTAAGTTGTATCCTCCTGACATGTATTTGAACCCGATTTCTGTTAATATTAAGAAATGATGTCAGAATATTAATCTGTCAAATTAGAAGATATCATTAACCAAGTATTCCTTCTGGTTGTTCCTTCCATATCGATGTTGACTGACCAAGAAAATATCTATAGAATAAAAGTAGCTATCAATACCAATACAAAGCACAAGAAAAATACGGTATGTTAAGGTAGTAGGCCAATCCGAATTACTGGAATTCTTAGATAGTAAAAAGATAGCAAAATAACGAAGAAACGATGACAGTAGTAAAGTAAGATAGCAGAAACAGGATAAAAGTGAGACAGAAAAGGAGTTCAGAGTAGGAACAAACCAAAATGTGAATCTGCAGTCCATGGGCTTGGGAATTTGACTTTTATGTTACGGGTCCTGGGTTCAAGCTACTGTCCACCCAATTCGGTTGGAAAAACCGCGTAACGCAACGAGACCTCATATATTAGGTGTAAATCAGCTTGATACCTACAGATGATCGGCATTAAAAGTGAGAAACTGTTAAGAGACAAAAAGAAACTGGTACATTTTGTTACATGTAGATCAGTTTTGAGTCCAGTGGCTTTAGACTTGTAAAAACCAGTTCCTAAAATGGTCCATGTCATAATTGTGAAGTTTTCTGGATTGGCACCCTATGTGTTTAACAGCCTTGAAGCCTGGTGTGTCTTACTAGTACTCGGACCAGCACGAAAGAAAGGACAACCTAGTTATCTTCGCCAACGAAAGGTGGAAGCCCATACAATGATTTAGTTCATTAACCTAGTCGCCTACATTGAACCGAAATACTGTTCATTTGAAATTTGCATGACACACTCAGGTGTGGATGACGGGATAATATTTTTATGATATTTACCTTCTGTGACTACTTCACAGATGTTCAATAAAGCAAAGTTCACTGCTACGCCCATGCACTCAATCCCTTTATGCACTTGAAAACCAGACTAAAACTATACATAAAGTAAATTGATTTAGGTACAGCAAGACGTTTTTGTTTTTGTTGCAAATTTATTAACCACTATTTCACCATGTGCAGTAGTTAGAAAGTGGTGAACAAACTGAATGACTTTGACTAGTAATCGTTAGCTGGAGCATAGTGTACACTACTTTGGTATTAGTATTTCCCAATGAACGTAAAACAAAACATGATGTATGCCACTTCTAGAGCCGTATTTCCAATTCCGAAAATAAGAATTGTGGCCAACATAGTCTTAAATTTTACTTGTTTAGTTATAAGGACTATTTTTACTAACATTCTTGTTCCAAAAAGCTATGTTATCTGGGTTCTAAGAGGTGATGAAAAAATCTGTCAGAAGACCAATGCCTAAAAACCGCGGATCAAAAGTAACACTTTTTTCAGTTATGTTCATCGAAAATGTATCATATTATTGGATAAGAATTTTCAGAATATCAGACAGGAATTATTAATAAGTAATTTTCTACACCAGGATGGTATACTTTCAGGCTTACCTGTAATGATAAGCATCATTATTAATTTTTACCAAAATCATGAGTGGGTAGCATATCCTCAGAGAAAACTCTTTCTTAGTGACGCATTTAGTCTTCACTAATATGTATCCCACGTGTGAATTTCTACGCTGAAAACCAATATGATTGAGAAGGTCATTTTTCTCATAAAGATAGCTGAGTATACTTAAAGAAGGTTTAACAGGGAATAAAACCACAAGAAAAGCTTACGAAGATTTTTTCAAGGTCAGCAGAGTTAGTCAGGATAGACTGGAAAAAACTTTAAAATGAACATATTCCCTGAGTGATTTCTGCTGGTAAGATCACTTACTAGGTTCTGCTGAACGCTTAGGAATTGATGTATGTGAATGTAGCACACAGAATGTTCGTTATGTAACCAGACAAGCTCAAAAATGCTGTAATAGTGGTTTACAAGTACTGTAAGCCACAGTTATTGCATATTGTGTGGAGTAGTGTCTACTCCAGTAAACCTATACTTGAAATGAATTGGCTTACGATAACTTCTTAGTTGTAGTGGAAACAATGGACAATAGAAATTTTAAATAAAAAATGCAAAACTAACTTGAACCAAGAAGAAAGGAGGGTTTAGATGACAATTCTTTCTGCCTTGTTGCATTGACTTAAGTGAAAAAAACCTGCTGTGCCCCAATATATATAACTATTAGTACTACTTGGTCATTTTAAGAATATTAGTAAAACTTATTTCACTTGTTGGTACTCTATACTATTCGCATTTCTTTATCAAAGTTAACATAATGACTACATTTCTATTAGCTCGTACTTTTTTGAGGGGAACTTGACTTGTTGCTACTTTTGAATATCAGTCATGCGAATATACTGTTTTCCAGTATCAACATCTGCTTCCTCTGCTTCTACATTCTCTCACACCCATGAGTCACCAATGTTGGGAGCTCTAAGTATACGTAAAGGTATTTTCGGATTTCTATACACATTACTGGAGTCAGGTGTACAACCATTATACGCTTCGTATGACAAGTGATAGGTGTTTCGTTACAGCCTTACTACAGTTTAATTCATTGGCTTGCAATAAGTTCTGATATTTAGTAGAAGTTTTGAGCAAAACTAAGTTACGTGTATTTACTATAAAGAAAGTCAGAAAATTGTAGCAGACTCATACGAAACTGTTGGGTTTTAAATTTAGATGATACGAGTGGCTGAAGTCTACAGCTCACTTCTGAATGTTTAAGAATGCAATGGCAATAATAGATGCAATACTAATGATGTTAGTAATCCATCACATACAGGTTTAAAATATCTACCTAAGAGCTTTATATAACCAATGTACGGCGACTCCGTCGTACAAAGTGCGATATATGGGGTGAGACCACCAGGTTAAAATTCAAATGGAATCAACAGTCAGCGAACTCGAATGACTACCAACGGACGATAGATGTGTTTGTTTACAAACACGAAATAAAAAATGATCACAAAATCAAGAAGGCATTATTAAGGATATTTGTGAAGTAAAGCTATCTAATCAAAAAATGCTAGTAAGGACTTTGAATAACCAGTCATACCATCTGATACAGCCTTCACTCATGGGCTGATTTTCACAAGCACAACGACAATGACTGAATGTGACAGAAGAGCTAGATCACTATAGAATTCAGACCAATGACCTCTGGAAAATTCTCAGCCATACCCAAGGGTTATGGATATTTTATGAAATGACCTATTCTCAAGGTCTGATCTTTTGTTCCAACCTTGATATCTAGGTTATTTTATTTTTACATGACCCATAATTCTACGGTAATGCCGATTGACTTTAGGTGGTGCATGCAGGAGGAACTGAGAAAACAAGGTAGTATATTTTTTTAAAATCAGCTACAATGAAAATATATGCGGAGGGTGGATGTGTACGGACCGATCAATTGGTTGGCCTAACTTACTAATATAAGAGGCTGAGTCACAAAAATGGCCGTGAATATGCAATATACACCTCGTGAATTAATTACTCCCAGAAATAGGTTAGTTGTTGATGTAAACATGGATAAGTTGTGCATCTTAGGCAACTAAGTAATGAAGGCAACGGTAAACATTACGTCGACATAATTCATAACCATAACAGAAAGAAAACGACTTCATAATGCTTTGTGAAGTCCCATATTCCACTGTCGCATACAGTTGGACTAAACAGATGCTTTGTTCATCATCATCATCAATATCAATACCAGGCATTACTGAGTAACGGTCAGAGTTGTCACACCTCATATCAGTACATCAAGTAAAAAGGTAATGAGGTGAAGGATGAAGATAAGAGAATGCAGTCAAAAGAGATATAAAGTACGAGAAGAAAGAAAGGAGGAATGAGAAAGTGGTGAAATTCGGTATAGCATCGTTAAGATGACGATAATGTGTGTATACATCTGCACCACTTACATGGGTTCTGAGCCATATCACCTAGAGTCCTCAACCACTGGTTCCTCTTGTTCCGTGGACCCCAACCACCTAAGCTGCATCATCCCACATGGCTCAAACCAACAGTCAGAGACTTCATGCATTGGTGCCATGCTTTAGTCTGGCCACCTCGAGCCTTTTTCCAGCCTGGACCTACTTCGGCCAACATTGTGTGACGAGGTAATCTGTGACTAGGCATACGTAGTACGTGTCCCAACCATCTCAGTCAACGAAGGTTCACAACCTCGTCAACCGACTTACCTCTTCTCCCTAAAACTCTACGCCTGGCTTCTGAGTTACTCACGTGGTGACACCACGGAATACAGTCTATACTACGAAGGCAACGGTGGTCAAATACTTTAAGCCTTCTCATGTATTCCATCTTCAATAGCCATGTTTCACAGACAGAGTAGAACAGACCGGACTGCTGTGCAGTACACGCAACCCTTAATAGACAATCGGACATCACGCCAGCGCCACAGGTGGCGTAAGTTGTCAAAAGCCAGCCGAGCCTTTTGTATCCGTGAAGAGATTTCATCGGCCACTGAGCCACTAGGTCTGATCCTACTTCCCAGGTAAGTGAAGTGGTTGACACACTCAACCACTACACTCTCTATTGTTAGCCGTGGCACCGTTGAAGACCAATCCTGGAGCAACTATTTGCATTTGGGTGGTGAGAAACGTATCCCAGTTATTCTCAAATTGCCACTCAGTGTTCAGAAGACTCTGCATCGTGTCAGGGTCTTCACTTAACAGGACTAAGTCACTTGTATATTCTAGGTCTAATGAAAATTCTCCATCGATTAGGTCAACGTCTGTGATGAAATTCAACAACAGTAGAGAGAGTGGATAGCCTTGACGGGCACCACTCGACAAGTACAGCTCCCCGAACATTTCAACATAGGCTCTAACACGCCCATAAGTGTTCGGGTAGACAGTCTTCAATAAGGTGATGTACTTACTATTGTCGGGCGTCTATAAGCGTGCCTATATTCCAGGATCTGGCGCAGTGTGAATAGTTGACTGGGTCTTCAACCTGCCTGTCTTGTTTTCTCGGGCTTGCTGTTCCCGAGCTCCACTCAGGCGTCGGAGAATTATAGAACCTATAGTCTTGGACACTATGTTCGTTAGGCTGATTCCTCTGTGGTTATCACAAGAGGACTTCTCGTCTTTCTTGAAGACTGGAATAATCAGTAATCTAGACCAGTCAGAGGAGATCGTATTTGATTCCCATGCACTAGTTAATACTCCCGTTAACCCAACCAAGAGAACTCTACCACTATCCTTGTATACCTCAGGAGTTAGTCCGTCTGGTCCTGCCTTCCTTCCTCGTTTCAGATTACCTACTGCTTTCTCAACTTCTTGTAGTGTTGGAGGACCTATCTCTGTGTCCTATTCAGGATCCGACTGGATAGCGGGCAACGTAATGGTGGCTGGAGGCCAGTTAAACTGTTCCTCGAAGTGTTCTGCCCATCGTTCCAGTCGTCCCTCCTGCAAGTGAATCACAGATCCGCCCTTCTCCGCTATAGCCTCACTAACTGTTGTTGACCTTTTCCCTCCATTTTGCTGAATAAGTCTAAATAACTGTCTACTGTTACCATTCGACGCTGCCTTTTCCATCTCTTTAGTTTTTGCTGCCCACTACCGTTCGCAGTCGTTGCGTAGACTTTTTCTAAGCCTACTTTTAAACTGTGTTCGCTCTTCATTGTACTCAGAGCCTGCGGGAATGCGTTCAAGTGCATCCGTTAGTTCGGAAGAAGCTGGCTCTTTCTAGCCACTATTTCGGAGTCCGCTACGGTCTTCAACACTACTTTTACAGCAGACTGGAGATGATACCAAGCTTCTTCTGGATGAGTGACAGTCTTTTGTTCTGATAACTGCCTAGCCAACTTCTCACTGAACACAGCTTTGGTGTTCTCGTTGTCCAACAGCACTCGTAGTGGTTTTGTTCCCAAATGTTGTTTAGGTCCATTGAGACGCAGGCATAAACGCGCTCGGACCAACGCGTGGTCGCTATCCAAACACGTAGTCCGGAAGGAGCGACAGTCTTCCACCGATCCTCTCCAGAGATGACAATAGCAAAGCAATATGATTTATCTGTGTCCATCGCTGAGTTGAGCTCGGTGGACGCCACGTCGGACAGTGTCTTTCTTTGTGTCTGAAATTTGTGCTAACTAAAAATAAGCGATTATCTGAGCACAGTTGTAGCAGGCGACCACTGTTATCTGTACGTTTAGCCGGGACGTTTGGCTTTCGAGATGAGGCTAGACAGTTTACGGTAGAACTCATCCTTCACTTCATCTGAGCCGCAGTCAGTGGGTGCATAAGCAGAGATTACAAATAGACAACGCCAAGTCTCCCTATTCCTTTTAGTTTTAACTGTGCAGTTCAGTCGGACAGCGCAAAGGCGACTATCAAGTGGGATCCAGTCTAGTAGTGAGTTTTCTGCCCTAGTGCTTAGTGCTATGCCTACACCTACACCCGACAGCTAGCTAACGAATCTCCAGAAACTCGAAGGGTGAATTTTGCCCATTCACCAGATTAGCCAGGAGATCTTAGGTGAATAACCGCACTTGGGTCCTGTATGCGTGTCTCACAAGCACAGCACAGATCCATGGCCCGAGTTGCCAGAGTCTTCGCCAATGAAGCCTGTTGACCAGTTTGACGGAGGGTGCGGACATTGAAGGCTCCAATATGTAATCTGGAGCATGGTTTAAGGAGATCAAGGATGCTGTTTTGTGGTCTTAGATTGCTGTCAAAGGCTGCAGAGGTAGGAGAAATTGAAGATGATGTAGTATTGTTAATTGAGAGATGTGAAGGAAGAATAGAAGGTAATGATGGAGGAGGTGGATAGCAGTCTGAAGAAACTTGAGTGCTGACAGAGTTGTGAGGGCGGTTGACACTTCCCGGCTGCCCACACCGTGAAAGGTTATTTCTTCTTAAAGTACCTGAAAGAGATTTGTGTGACTGAACACCCAATCGGACATCTGTCTGAGGCCTGTCACACGCAGCCTTTTGTGTATGGTTATTTTGAACTTTTGTATTTTTGGGGCCGGATGGTCGAAAGGAAATGACAAGTGAACCAACACCGCCGGCCCGGCAGACCATGGGGAATGGTGGAGTGTGTTATTTTTGGGGCCGACCTTTTCTAACCCCCCCCCCCACACTTTCCATTGAGAAGGCAGCATCAGCATGGCATTGCTGGTCATCTAAGTGAAACACCTTGCTGCTGTCACACCCCATCCAGCTAGCAGCAGTACGACTTCGTTCTCAGACCTCCATCATAGTGTAGGAATTTACGCCACAACGGTAACTGCTTTTCGTCTAACCACTGTACAACAGACCTTTCTGGTTTGGTAGGACCTTGAGGGAACAAGTGTTCCACTAGCATATCTTGTTGGGTCATTGTGGTATCCAAGCCTAACCACCACGTCAAGGTAGCAGCTATCGGTCGGGAGATACTTTGTTAGCTGGCGAACTATTTTTTGAAAATGTTTCTTAAGCGTCTTGTCTTCTCTTTATATTGAAGTTAATGCTGATGGTGTTATCCATAAAGCCAAAGAAAGCTTCGCGATTAAATTATGCGGCTGAAAGAATACAGAACCACCAAAACCGAACGAAACACACTCAGCTATCTTGAACACATCGATGTAGCCACATCTATTGTGTGAAGCCTAGTGATGCTACCTGGCTGCCCAAACCTTCGTAGATGGAGCGGGACTTGGACTCGTGACCCAATGATTGGTAGTCATTTCCAAAAACCACTGAGCCACATTTCCACACCACCAAAATCACTTGTATGCTATGGAGATTCAGTGACTCAATCCAGGCTTTTCGAAATATTTTTTATGATGAATCTGAAGATAACAAGAAATTGTTGACTTTTGATGAACAACCTGAATTGGCTGAAATCTTTGTTTTGAGAGAATACTAACCATCTGCTTGTACTAATTTGTAATAGGTTGCAAAATACGTTGTTTGATGTGCAGAAATAATTAAATGGGATAGACTAGAATCGTATCAACGAAATTCCTTCCCAAAAGTGCTACAGAAAAATTGGTTACTTTTTGTGGTAAGTCATAATAACGGGTGAATATGAGGTTCCGAGACTATGTATACCATGAAATTTTACCAGTACGTCCTTGAGGATGTGTTCACATGGACCTGCATTAAACCAAGACTTATATAATAGTGATAAATTCAATAACTTCTACTTACTTTGACGGCTTCACTAGCTCCAGTAGAGAGAAAAACATCTTGTGAATTAGCTGGTAGTTGGTCCCGATATTCTATGTAATTTGCAACATCCTCACGCACAACTTCAACACCAGTAGACTGACTGTAAACTCCTAAAAACGATCAAGTACCGTAGTAATTACAAGTTGAAGATTAGTACGTGTCCTGTTTATAAAGAAGACATTAAGCGGTATTTGGTTTAAATATAGATACTTATGGTGAAACCATTATCGTGAAAACTATTATTACATGAATTTCCTAGTCTCAAATATGTTTCATTTTTAATTGCAAAGGGTGAATCCTCAACAATCTGAAGTATGTAACAGGAAATATTTGGAAAAGCACTTTACTGCAAGTATAAATATATGACACCGGAGAGGCTAAAATCATTATCTGCTAAAAGTGGAGCCAAGATAGGTTTAAATAAATTGAACAGTGAGTAAACGCTTCTCATTGGAGATCTATCCAAGTAAAATTCTAACGCAGTAAAAATGTAAATCTCAAAAGACTTGTGGCCTTTTGGATATCCGTAAACCAGATGATGGAACTTATACGATCTCCCATTTGTTTTTTTTTATATGTTCACTGATTACGACATGATTCAATTTTTCCACTAAGTATCTGATAACTTGTAAATACTTATCTGGAACTTCTAAACTTTTACAAGCATAAATAATTAAAACCGTAAAGCATTCGAATAAAGTTTTCACTTTAGGCAACTGTAATGCATCTTTTCGGCAATATATACTACTAGATTTAAAACAAATAGATATTTTTCTAAATACACATATATTGGCTGAATAACCTTATCCGGTGTCAGTGGATGTGTTTAGTCTTGTAAGTGTTGCTTTAACGTGTAAATATCCGCCATCTGACATTCATTAATTTTGTATCTTCTTTGTGTTGACTAAAAGTCGCAAACTCAGAGTTCATGGTTAAGTAGTCTGTAGACAAATAAGTTATTAAACCTTCCGCCAAAGTAACCCTTTGACTCCAAACAAATAAATAAACTTTTTCTGAGCGTTTTTAAAAATCTCAAGTGTTTTCTTACTCGTCTTCTGTTATCAGTTCTTTCACGTACATATGGTGTTGCTTAGTTAGTACTGGTGTACATTGATTTATGTGATAGCGGTTACATTTTAGGTAAAAACAACACAACCAGCCTCTTAAACAGTAGTAAAGAACTTTTATTCGTTGAAGGTTTTGGGCATATACATAATGATTTCAATGTGTGGAATATATCCATAATGATTTGAAAGAAAAACTATTTCAGCGAAGAGTCTCTTTTTGGCGATTTTATTTTCAAAGCTGTACACTAGAAAAATGTATAGATTTGCGGTTGTACAGCTTTGAGAATGAAATTGCCGAAAAGAGACTCTTCGCCGAAATACTTGTTTTTCCTTCATATACTGGTTTACCTTTTTTTTCCTCATGTTTCATTAAAAGTGTTTTCGTCCTCCGAGAGGATAATCAGAAAATCTTTCACACTAAACAATGTTTGTAAGCGAATTGAAATCCCGCTACGTATTGAGTTCACCCGGTTTATATATTGAAATCGTTGAGAACTTATAACATAAACGTCATCTCTAAAAGATTCTCCGGAGTCATACAGAACTTCAGATGTCAAAGTTATGATCATTGTGATAAATTTTATCACTTGATTTAAAAATGACTGGTTGTGCGTTTAGCGTAAAAAGGAGAAAGAGAACGTTTGAAAAAGCATTTTCTACAGTCAGGTGGTACCGATTCATAGACCAAAATTGAATGAAAAAAGAGGTGGAATTCACATGGAGGAGAGAACTTAGAATAAAAACAGTAGCATAATAAAATGAATTTGTTAGTGTTGAAATAGTATCATACGGTTTGAGATGAATAAAACATATACTATGAAGAGTGTGCTTGTATCTTTTGTAAAATTTATTTATTTGGTTAAGACAATACTGGCACAAGTGAACAACAGGTGCACATAAAATGACATGAGGATCTGTTAAACACAAGGCCTAATAGTGTTAGTACCACTGTCAGGTAAAGACTACATAATTCATGTGAGAGCAGAACCAAAAGCTGTAACTTGGTATTTCACGCTTCATATTCATCGTGCTGAAGACAAATGACTTGGATTTTGAGCTATAAGTGATGACGCCTCAATTCAACTGGTGAAGTCATTCATAGAATTTCCATAATATAGTTTAAATTCTGTAACGAGTGCTGAGATAACACACCTACTATTCATTGCATCAGGTTTCAAAAACAACCCAATTTCCCGGCGAAAAAGCTTTCCGCTTACTTTTTTAAGTCATTTGGTCGGTGTATGTTTACTACTACAACATTATCAAACTTAAATCCCAGGTTAATCGAAGTGAAGCGGTAGCAAATACCAACATACATCTAAGGGGTGTTTATATCAAAACTAACATCGTACATATTATTTACGGTGGTATAAAGCTTATAAGTTAATGTCCATAGCTGCCAGTTCCGGTTTCCAAAGAAGACACTCAGTTTCAAGTGCGAATAGCTGCTTATCTGTTAGTAAAAGTTTGATTTAAAATCACCGATAAGAGAGATTACTGGTATTTTTCGAACCATAGAAGTCAGGAAAACCAGAATTCAAGTTAGATACGATGTATAAACATACCATCTAATTCAAATTGCTTAAGTGCCATCAATAGTTCTGGCGATTTTCTCTACAATCTTTTACAGTATGTTTAATCAAGATCACACATGAAGAGTAGTAAAAAGGGTAGCATTTCTTGGTGTCATCAAATTACCTGAGTAAGGCATATTTGTAAAACTATTTAACAATTTGAAACCGTGTCATTAAGTGCTAAAACTTTGTAGGAAAACATTTGCTGCAAAATTTTTTTCGTTTAAAGCTTTTTTGAAAATCAAAGTTGAAAAGAATGATATCGGTAACTGATTGGCAAATGAAAAATAACACATCAACAAGTACCAACTGAAACTCACTATAAAACAGATAAATTAATAGCCTAGTTGACATCGCATTAGCGCAGCAGGTGATAAACATTAGATGTGAGTTACAGTGGAAAAACCAACACTCCCTATGACGTAAATATGTCCAGCGAAAGTAAGAAATAAGATAAAGTTGATATTTCGGGTGTCACTGGTAGCCGCTATTACATAGGTCACAAAACATACGAAAATGTTTGGAAGGCGAAGCGAAGAAACTTCTTCTAACAGTCTGAAATAGGAGACAATGAGAGGGAGAAAAGAAGCTGAAAATATGTTCGGACTATCTATGTGTGTCAGAAAACCGTAATAAAGTAATGGCTAACCTAACCACAGTGCTGCTATTAACCGGATTTTTCAATCCTAATCGATATAAAGTTATGGACAATTTAAATTTTTAGATAATTGGTGAGGTTTATCACCACAGTGAGGTGAAATAAAAGTTAAGTAGATGGTGTAAATGTGGCCACGATTAACTTGTTTGAAATTTTAGTATTCCTGATTAATCTACCTGACAAACATGTCTATCCATCTTAATGTAAACTGAAAGCTTCAGAAAACATGAAGATTTATGTCTACTGGAATTCCGTTAGCAAACTAAACCACGGTTATCACTGTGAGCTTTTCCTCAATTGGTTCACAATTTTTAATCAGCCCAACTATGATTAAACTCATTACTCGAGTATTATGCTGTTTAAAAAAATAAACATCACAGTTGCTAGCTATTCAACCATTTTGATGCACGGCGATATCATTGTACCTCTGAATATTTCCAAGTGGCAAACCGAAAAATATACAAAGATGCAACCGTTACTGCAATTGAAAATCTAGCAACATGCTTGCCCCCTCTCTCTCTTTCCATATATATATATATATATATATATATATATATATATATATATATATATATATGCATATATATATATATACATATATATATACATATATATATATATATACAGGCGATATGTGCCATGGTGACTGAACGACATTTGTGCAATATACATTCATTCACTCACCAACACTACCACCACAACTGTCTAAAAACCTTCTGGCTCTCAGTTTAGCATCATCAGGTACCAGACTGCTATTCATAACATTAGTATTTGTGGCAGCTGACAAAACATCGCGAATAAAGGAAATGGGTTTTTGACCAGAAGCATGACAGTCCCCGATATTGCACCGAATAATTTTTTGAAACCTTTTGCACGATCCCTGAGGAAGTGTATTAAAAATTGCAACAGTCTAACCTCAGATATCTCTTTTTCTAATTCTGATGCTCTTTGAACTATAGGACCACGAACGGCATACTGTAGCTTAACAACATGAGGATTGATGGTGTTACAGCTCATCTTTTGATAAGCACGAAGAGTAGAATGTGTAATGCACGAAGGGATCCTAACATTATATAAAGAAAATGCACAAGCCATCTTCTGAAAACTTTGAAAATTTCTTTTCTGAGTTATGTGAGAATGACCTAGATGTTAGAGAGAACAAACACAAGTGACCTGAAAATGTCAGACCATTTGTTTAAAGTTGAAAACTGTTATCAAGTCACCAACTTTTGTGACCACTAGCAAAGATTCTATTCGCATAAAGCTGATTTGTTTTTAGTGTCTGCGAGCATTGAAAAAGTAGTGATTTTCCTACTTTAAAAGGAAAAACTATTGTCTTCACTTGTCGGACTCATGGTTATCAGCCACATGCTTGTTGAATTCACACATCGTGGAACTTGGAGAGGTAGAGGGTAATCAGGAGATTAGTTAACTTGCAATTCCGTACTGTAGTAACAGCAAGCGGTGGTTCCGTGTGTTCTTCATCTGTCCCAGTGGAATACCTTCTTTGTTTGAAATGGTCACAGTTGTTTTCCTCCGTCTTATGAACCTGAGATGACAAGAGCCCAACTGATTGATCGATCAGCTGGCAAAAAGTTAGTAGGACGATAGATAGCCCCTTGAGTGTAGCCCATCCGCACCACGGGTCCATATCACACTTCTAACCCCCTTTATAAGCCTTCAGGCAAAAAAAAGTCACAGCGACTTCTTCGGCAGGAAAGTTCTGCGGCTGACAAAACCCTGACTGCAAATGAGTTAAAGTGGACCATCTTCCTAGCTCTCCAGTGCTCTTCTGTGAAAGGATGGCCTACTAGGTAATTACAGGTTAAGATCGATCAGTCATGATGAGGAGAATTGTGGGTGACATGATACACCACGACCAAATCCCCCACTGTGGTTTAAAGGTTCGAAGTTGGGCTCCCTAGAGTTGGAGAGAGAAATCCCGGGACTCCATACGCCCTGTTGGCTGCGGGTTGAAGATTGACAGGAGCTCCAGGCCTGTTGTAATGATCATCGAAACGGATGAAGTTGTACGAAGATAGTTGTGGTGAAGTTAAATTCTGTAGAGATCTTCCTGAAAATCATTTTCTGTAAATGGCTAAATCGTTGTACACTTTATCTGAAAATACTTATGAGTTTCTTGGTTGGTTGCACGTATAATCTAAGGTGGTATGCTATCTCTAACTATCAACTCAGCGATAAAATGGGAGAATACAGATAATTTTGAGACTCTTCAGGTTTACCTGTCCTGTTTAGAACTATTACAACTATAGGAATTACAAATGAATTTGAGGTTAAATTAGTTTCTTTGAAGTCCCCTAAAGTTTGCATTGTATCTGATGCAGTTCCTTGCTATCAGAGATGTGGAATGTTTTAAGCACATGTGAGGTTTAGTTATTCAGCTTTCGAAACAGTTTATTCACTTATTTGTTGATACTTCTACTTGCCCGTTATTAACGTAGATCAAATCGATCCACCTGTAATGGCTGACTCATAAGCTCAGTTACTAACGCCCTGAAGTGATGACTACTGGGTTGGAGTGACAGTGGAGACACCACTACTTGCTAAGAGGTAGATACATCCAGGTGATGAGTATTAGACCTAATGAAACGTACCTCCTGAGGCTTGTCTTTAGTCAGTAAAGTGCACATTGTAGCATACTTGGTCGCTTACACTATAACAATCTTCTGAGCTCATTTCTAAGATAGCCAGTGTTGATACAGTTTGCTTGTTCACCATTATCTAGTTAATCTTCTCAAAAACGATTGAAATGTGGCACCAAAAACGATCTCCAGATCCTTTTTTGACATCTTTGTTATATCTGATTTGGCCCATTTTCAAAAATGTTTTCTATATACCATAGTCCTTGAATGCAATATATCATTTGAGGAAACATATAAGATTGTTTATTTAATATAGCGCACTAGTATTTACTGGATGACATTTCAAGCACAATGCGGACAGTTTGGTAAATTTACTACCATTCAAATGAAAATCCTAAGAGCTGTTGGAATATAAAAAGGAGGCCCAAAAGTTGTGTAGTTACTTTGTCATGATTATGAACAATAAACTTTGTTTAAAGCTTCATCCTGTAAATAATGTGTTGCATCAAGTAAACGTTCTATATGGAATTATATATATGGAATATATGGAATTATGCCCCATTGAAAGTAGGCTATAATTCATGTAGATTTGTCACTTTTCTAAGAAATTCTTCAATTAGTAAAACCGAAACATTTGCATGTTAGTTTATAAAATGAGACATAGAAGTGGCAAGAACATGAAGTATACGCTTCAGATAATGATGTTTTAGAAATTGAAAGGTCATATTTTGAAAAAATTCTGTGAATACATTTAAAAATGAGGAAAACTTCTGTGTTTCGCAGTTAAGAAAACACTTCTATGTGGTTAAAATATTCAGCCTCTAGCCTCCATCAACTGACAAAATTTTCTGGATGACAGATCATTTTTTGAAGTGAAAGAGGCAAGAAATATATTTGTTCAGCTTTTCTAAATGCCGCCAAGTTATGTTGTGTTTTCTACAGCCGGCCGATGATGACCACACGAACTAAAGACAGACTCCCTGACTTCTCCTCTTCTATGTGCATTTACCAGTTCAACTACTCCTATGGAGCTAGTTATATTGGACGTACAGTTAGGCAAGTCCGTCGTCGAATCGCCGAGCATCATCCTTCATGGCTAAGTAAGGGGGAAACCAGATTGACACGAAGCTCAATACTCTCTCATCTGATTGACACTGGCCACCGAGTTAACATTCGTAGTGCCTTTAGAGTTATTGATCACATTCCTTCTCATCTCACCCATCCTTTACAAGTTCGTCTTTTACATACAGCAGAAGCCATAGGAATCCACCTACACAAGCCAAATCTGTGTGTTCAGAAGAGATTCGTACAGCCTCTTTCTTTGCCTTGGCCATCTGTATAGCTCATTTATTACAACAAGACTCTTCATTTCATCCACCACACAATTCACCATAACTAATATTTTAATAGCTCCATTATTATTATTACAGACTTAACCACCTTTCTCTCCCCCTACTGTCTCTAATTACCGTCAACAATTTACCATTTTACGTAACAGTTCATTTTTGCTCTTTAGTTATCATTATATAAAATATATATTATGTAAGAACCTGTTCACAAAATCTTTCTGCGATAATTAATCTTTGCTTTAGTTAACTGTCTTAATTACCTGATCAATTATCACCTTCTTGATACTTTGAGATTGATAACCTTTCATTGAACAACTCTCACCACTAGATTGGTGTGTAATTTTACATTTGAAAATGCTATATTAGTGTACAGCCATTGATGAGGAACTAATTGAAAAGAAATATTTCTTCGCTCACATTGTTTGCTTTCCAAATGACACAGAATACATCATACCAAAACTTGATGACTTTATCAAAACTTACTTCAGTAAGAAGGCAGCTACTTTAAGGCTATTTGGTACTTCTGTTGTTGTCAAAAATTATTGAAGTGTAGGTAGTAGAAGAACCTCTCATATATTGATCCTAATGACTTTGGGTTATACCAGGTTGCACTAAAAATGAATTCATGCTGATAAGGTGTCTTGATTTCCTTACTAATTTCATGTTTGCTCATCAGTTCCTTTCCTCATATTTAGCTAGTTAAGTGATGACTCCTTTTGCTCTCAGTACACCATAAACGTGATCCAGGTGTGATGAAAACTTTTTTGAGTTTGTATGTTATAAGATTTCAGTATGCTTATTGTAAGAATCATCAATGTGTGTTTGTTCGTGTCTATCGAAATGAATGATGCTGCGTGACTAGATAGTCAGAATCGTTTATATTTTATAGTACAACTGTCCTGTGAAGCAGTTTCTACACAGAACATAGTTTCAAACATTTTAATGTCTGTACATATGAAAATGAATTAGCCTAACTAAGGAAGATAAAGTCACCTAGTCTGAATGTGTAGATTGATTCAGTACATCACACAAGCACTCAGAATGGGTCAATTGTATTCCCTAGACTCTACATTTAGAGGGTGGAGGCAATATTCCTTTTAAACCTTGGACTGGAAACGACTTCGCATATCTCCATGATGCTATTCAGTTTTGGTTTTTTATTCGTTGACAAGGCTGTCATTGTTATTCTTACTGGTATTGTCAATTCTGTTATTATTATGGCGAAAATTAATACACCACTTTAAGGTTACGAGGTAAAGACGGTATACAACGTGTAGTTTGATGGAAATGTGAATTATTTTGTCATTGGGAAGTGTGAAGCTATGAAATACAGATCAATGTAGAGTAGTGCATAAAAGTGTATGGGTTCAGTCTGCCAGACCACAAAAACATGTAAGGAAGAGGTGAAAAGACAGCAAATGACATAAACTCCATAAATTTGCATAAGAAGAAGGAGAATTAATAGTTGCGGAATAGTGTAAACATTCAAAAATCTGAAGATGACACAGGGTGTATATATCTTCATCATTATGATCCATTTCGAATCATATCTTCAAGAGTCTTTATCTATTGATTCTTATCATTTCAAGAACCTCAGTCAGGCGCTTACGTAGCCCTGTGAGGCTCAGACCAACATTAAGATAAATGTATGTGGATCTACACCTAAAAGTAAGCACTAAATCTCTTCAAGGCACAGATACGCTGAGCAGATGATTGTTAATTAGCATGAAAAGTAAATGCTAGGTTTTCTGAAGATTACCTCTGGCCAACTAAGTCACAGCGACCTTTCGTAATGACTGAAAATTCACTAAAAATATATACTTTCTACAATATTTACTCCTATTAAGGTCGATTATTTTCACTGAAGAAGTAGGAGCTAAAAATTAATTTGCATAATTGTATGCAGATCATTTTTCATTGTCTAAAAAGAAGTATGCCGACTTTATATGCTATGCATCTTGAATAACTCTGAATTCTACATAATATGTTCTCCTAACCATGTTGATTCCACTGATTTCACGAATTCAACCAATACTAACGTTGTCGCCTTACTTTCTTAGGTAACCAGTTGTTGGATTTCAAATTCACTACAGGTCATTAAGTGTAGCATATAAAGGTAAGAATCTGCATAGCTAATTTCAGGTTGCTAGAAAGGGAAACTAGGAAATTGTCCACTTTAGAAAAAATTGTTCTGAATGGTTAATCACG